CACCGCCCGCCGTCGCGGTCGCCCGCGAGGACGCCGGCGGCGCCGCGCTTGATGACGACGAGCTTGACGCCGTCGGGGGATCCTTTTCCTCCTCCCTCGCCCTCAGCGACGCCGAGCAACGCGTCGAGCGCCTCCTCCGCGGTGGGCTTTCCCGTGATCTCGCACGCCTCGACCTCGGAAGGCAGCAGAACGTCCACCGCGGAGGGCCCCTTGATCGCGAGCTTCATCGCGCGGTTAGTCCAGCCGCCGTTCGCCTTGAAGATGATGTCGGGGTGGAGTTGAAAGGCGTCAGTCGGAGTTGAAAGGCGTCGAGGGTGGGGATTGAAAGCGAGGTGTGGGCGAAAAGAGATGACGCGCAAAGTCTTTAAGGATCGGCGTTCACCACGCCGACGCGGTCGTATGGGGACCAGTGTGAGGAATGCGCACGTCGAAGTTGGGATCCATCGACACGACGACGCCTCGGCTCTTCAGCCGCCGAACGACGCCCGCGAGTCCACCGTGCACGCCCTCGCAGACGTAAAACCCCGCGACGTGGACGTGCGTCGCGTCCAGCGCGTCCGCGTCGCCGCCGTCCGGGAGGAGCTGATTCATCGTCGCCGCGCGCGCCGCGCCGGGCGACGAGACGAACGCGCGCTCCGTCTTCGCGCCCGCCGCGATCGTCACGCACGACGCCGTCGCGTGGTAGTTCAGCGTCGCGATCGATTTGGACGGGTCGCGGAGCTTGCTCTCGTCCGCGAGCGCGCGCGTCAGGACGCTCGCCGCGCGGTCCTTCCCGACCGCCGCGCGCAGCTCCGCGTCGACGCCCTGCTCCGCGAGGTGCCACGCGGTGTTGAGCGCGCTGCCGCCGGGGGAGAGCGCGATCGCGGACGCGGCGACGTCCGCGCCGGGGGTGGGGAACGCGTCGAGCGGGCCTGAGGGAGGACGCGACGGGGAAGCGCGGGGAAGGCGGGGGAGCGTCAGCGCGAGGGGCGGGGACGGGGGGGGGAGGAGGGACGACGGCGACGCCGAGGGCGTGAAGGGCGGATCGGGTGGGAATCGTCGTCGCTCGGACGACAATCGTCGTCGTCGTCGTCGTCGCGCCCTTTCGCGTCGGGGACGCGACGGGGAGACCGCGGGGACGGGACGCACCGACGCTGACGTCGACGATCGCGTCGCCGAGGACGGTGAATTTGATCGGTTTCGCGGGCTCCATGGTCGCGTGCGTCGGTGTCCCGCGCAGTGATCGATCGATGCCGCCCCGAGTTCGTCGTCTGTCGAACACGCGCGGGCGGCAGTCGCGCCCGACTGGAGTTCGTCCCGTCGCGTCCTCGTCTTGCTTCTGGAAATTGGCTCTCGCGCGCGTCCTCCGCGACACACCACACGGCGCGACGACGCGACGACGTCGCTCCACACCGCGAGCGCGCGTCGTGCGACCTCGTGTCAGGACGGATCGCGCCCCGGGGAAGCGCGAGAAGCCCGCGACGCGCGCCGCGTCGGCCGCGTCCGCGCCGGAATCGCGTCGCGCGGAAGGGTCGTCGGTCCCTCGAGGGTTAGGGCGGGGTAGCGTCTCATCGCGATCGGTCCCATGGCGTCGTTTCAGTGGGACCCGGCGTCGCTGCAGGCGACGCTGAACGACCCGGAGCTCCTGTTCAGCGCGTTCAAGCTCGCGGATTCAGGTGCGCGAGGACGCGAGCGCGGCCCCGATCCCCGCGCGTCCGCGACGACGACGGCCGATTCGTTCGCAATGCAGAATTATCGCAGCGTCCGTCGTCCCTTCCGAGCGCCCGACGATTGATTTCCCGCGGATGGCGTCGGCGGCCGCGCCGCGGAAGCTCGCCGCCGACCGATCGACGTCATCGACGCCTGCGCGCGTCGCGTCGCGTCGCGTCGCGGCGTCTCATCCCATCTCATCCCATCCCATCTCATCCCATCCCATCCCATCTCATCCCTCTCGTCCCTCCGCGACAGACGGCACCGGGGAAGTCACCGGCGCGCAGGCGGTGGCGTTCTTCGGAGGCAGCGGCTTGCCGAAGCACGAGCTGAGCGTCATCTGGCGCGGCGCCACGGGCGGCGCGGCGACGATGGCGCCGCAGGCGTTCCGAGAGGCGCTCGTCATGGCCCAGGGCGCGCTCGAGCGAGGAGGAGGGGGACCGGGCGCGGGCGGCGGCGGCGGCGTCGCGCCGCCGACGCCGGAGGAGCTTCAAAAATACTCGGGCCACTTCGCGGCGCTGGACGCGTCCGGGCGAGGCGCGATCCCGCGCGAGGCCGCGGTGACGTTCTTGTGCAAGGCGAAGCTCCCGGAGTCGGACGTCCGGGAGATCGTGAGCGCGTGCGCGGGGGGGTCGGACGTCGTGACGCGGGAGCAGTTTTGCACGTCGATGCATCGGACGTACGCAGCGATCGGCGGTAAGGGGGGCGCGGCTGCCGGAGGCGCGGCGTCGCAGCGGTGGACGCCCGCGCCGGTGCCGCCGCCGCTCGGTCCCCCCGGCGGCGGAATGGCGCCGCAGCCGCCGCCGTCGACGTCGTCGCAGAGCAACGGGTTCGGAGGCGACCAGGGCTCGGGCGGGTTCGGCGCCACCTTCGACGCGTTCCCGTTCGCGGACGGCGGCGGCGGCGGGGGGGGGTTCGGCGCGACCTTCGACGCGCCTCCGAGCCAACAGAGCGCGCAGTCGGAGATCCAGCCCGCGGCGGCGCAGCCGCAGCCGCCGCAGCCGGCTCCGTCGGCGGCGCTCTCCGAGGACATGTTCTCCATTGGCGGCGGCGGCGGCGGCGGCGGCGGCGGGTTCGAGCCGTCGAGGAGCTCGTTCGACGCCGGCGGAGGAGGCTTCGGCGGTCCGCAATCGTTCGGCGGTCCGTCGTCGTTCGCGGCGCCTCCGCAGAGCGCCGGCGGCGGTGCCGCCGGCGACTTTGGCAACTTCGGCAGCGAAGCGTCCGCGCCCGCCGCGCCGCCGCCGTTCGCCGCGGACTTTGGCGGCGGCGGCGGCGGGTTCCAATCCGGATTCGAAGCGCCGCCGCCGCGCGCGGACGCCGCCGCCGCATCCGCCGCATCCGCCGCCGCCGCATCCGCCGCATCCGCCGCCGCCGCCGCCGAGGCGGCGGCGGACGCCGAACGCGCGCGCGCCGCGGAGCAAGAGCGCGTGCGCCGAGCGAACGACGCCGCGCGCCGCGCGGAGGCGGAAGCCGCGGAGATTCGCGCCAAGGCGGACGCGGACGCTCGCGAAGCGCGCGCGGCGGGCGACGCCGCCGTCCGACTCGAGGAACAAAAGCGCGCGGCCGCGGAGGCGGACGCGCGCGAAGCCCGCTCGCGCGCGGACTCGGAGGTGATGCGCGCGGAGGCGGAAGCGCGCGACGCGCTCCAGACCGCCGAGGCGGAGACGCGCGCGGCGAACCTCGCCAAAGCCAAGGCTGACGACGAGGCGCGGTGCGTTCCACACACTGGTCCCCATACGACCGCGTTCGCGTGGTGAACGCCGATCCTTAAGGACTTTGCCCGGTGCATCTCTCCGCGCACCCCTCGCGTTCAACGCCCGACCGCGACGCCTTTCAACTCCGCTTCTGACGCCTATGAACTCCACCCCGACGTCGCTTTGAACGACGGACCCAGGTCGGCGCGCGCCAAGGCGGAGAACGACGTCCGCGCGGCGAAGGACGCCGCGCTCGCGGCGAAGCGCGAGGCGCGCGACGCGCAGGACGCCGCGACGCGCGCGATCGCGTCCGCCGAGAGCGCGGAGGCGGACGTGGAGTCGGCGGAGTCGGAGCGCTTCGCGGCGATCGAGGAGACGAAGCGCGCGAGAGAGACGAGAGCCGCCGCGGAGGCGCGCGCGCGCGCGGCTGCCGACGAGGCGGCGAAGATTCGCGCGCAGACCGCGGCGGCGCAGGCGGAGACGAAGGCTGCGACAGCGCGGCTCGAGGCGGACGCGCGCGCGGCGGAGGCAGCGCTCGAGCGCGTCCGCGATCAAGCCGCGGGGATCGACGCCAACGTGAAGAAGGCGTCGGCGCACGCGAAAAACCGCGCGGGCGCCGCCGCCGCGGAGGCTGACGAGATCAAGCGCGCGGCGGATCAGAACGCCAAGGCGGCCAAGGCGCGCGCGGAGGCGGAGCTCGCGGAGGCGTTCGAGGCGCTCTCCGCCGCGAAGGCGGAGGCGGAGCGCCTTAAAAGGGAAGAGCTCACCGCGCGCGCGGAGCACGACGCGTTGGTGGCCTCCGTCAAGGCGCAAGTCGACGAGGCGAACGCCGACGTCGCCGTCGCGGCCGCGCCGGTGGACAAAATCAAGGCGGACATCGCGACCGCGACCGCTGAGCTGACGCAGATCCGCGCGGCGCACGCGCACGCGTCCGCGGAGGCGACGCAGAGGCTCGTGGAGCTCTCCGTGGAGCTCGCCGACGCGGAGCAGCTGGTGAAGGAGCAGCGCGCGGCGCGAGAGGTGGCGCAAGAGAAGGAGGCGTCCGCGATCGCCAAGACGCGCGGCGCGCTCGCGCAGGCGAAGGCGTCGCTCGAGAGCGAGATGGAGCGCGGCGCGGCGGCGGTGAAGGCGGCGGAGACGGAGCTCGCGAGCCTGCGCGAGCGCGTCGTCGCGACGACGGCGGCGACGGAGGAGGCGATCGCGGACGCCGCCGCCGCGGTTGAGGATCACGACGTCGCGATCGCCGCGGAGGAGGTGAAGCTCGCGGATGCCAAGGCGAAAGAGGTGGACGCGAGAGCGACGCTGAAGGACGTGCGAGCCAATCTGAAGGCGGACCTCGACAAGCTCGTCGCGGTCAGGGTCGTCGCGGTGGCGAAGGCGGCGGAGGAGGCGGCGAAAGCCGCGGAGGTTTCGGCGGACGCCGCGGAGCGCCGCGCCGCCGCGGAGAAGGAGCTCCTCGTCGCGGAGGAGACGCTGGAGAAGACGCGCGAGAGCATCCGCGCGGCGAAGGCGGCGGACGACGCCAAGCTCGCGGAGCTTCATCAGCAGCTCGCGGATCTCCGCGCGACGCTCGAGGTGGAGGCGAAGCTCGAGGAGGCGGAGCGAGAGAAGCGCGCGCTGAAGCTCGCCAACGACGTCGCGGAGGTTTCCGCGTGGGCGTCCAAGCTCGACGGCGAACGCGCCGCGCGGGCCTCCGCCGCCGCCGTCGTGGACGCGAAGGAACGCCGCGCGCGCGATCAGATCGCGCGGGATAAGGCGGAGATCGTCGCGAGCGCCAAGGCGTGCGAAGAAGCGGACGGGATCGCGCACCTCGCGTCCATCGCGCGCGCCGCGATACTGAAGCACGTCGAGGCTGAGACGACAGAGTTGAGGAAAAAACTCGCCGCGGAGAATCGCCGCGTCGACGGCGAGCGCGCGGCGGTGGAGGAAGATCTCGCGCTTCGCGAGGCTGCGCTCGCGGCGGAGCAGACGAAGCTCTCCGCGGCGCTGGAACGCCTCCGGTTCACGCGCCCGAGGGAGGCTGCGGCGGCGAAGCAGGTGAAGACGTTGGAGGACGCGAGGGACAAGGCGGAGAAGGACCGCCTCGACGCGGAGGCGCGCGAAGCCGCGGCGCGCGCGTCGGTGACGAAAAACCTCGCCGCGCTGCGTTCGCTCGCGGCGGCCGTCGCGCGCGCGACGTCGGAGGCGAACGACGCGAGGGTCAACGCCGCGGAGGCGGAGCAGCAGGCGGCGGCGAACGCGGCGGCGGTGCATCGATCGAGGGCGGCGGCTGGCGAGGAAAAGGCGCGGGAGGCGGCGGAGAAAGCCGCGCGGGAGCGCATCGCCGCGGCCAAGGCGGAGGCGTCGCGGATCATCGCCGCGCGGCACACGCCGGGCGGGACGGCGCTCCCGGACTCCGCGAACAGCACGCCGATCGCGGGCGAGAGGGCGTCGGCGACGAGGCCAGGGTACCAGCCGAGGGCGTTCGCCGCGACGGCGAGCGCGCCCGCGTCGGCGGCGCCGGCGGAGGAGAAGAGGCCGCCGGCGGAGGCGGAGGTGGAGGCGGCGCGCGCGGAGACGCTAAAGCCGAAACCCGTCCCGGTCGCGTCGGAGACGCCAAAGCCGAAACCCGTCCCGGTCGCGTCGGAGACGCCCAGCGCGACGCCCGCGGCGACGCTGGACTTCGCGGACACGCCGGATGAACGACGCGCGACGGCGTCGAAAGAGGCGAAGAACCTCACCGAGGCGCTGTTCAGCGCGGGGAAAGAGACGTCCGCGTTCGACGCCGACTTTGACGACCCGCCGGCGGCGGAGGAGGCGCCGGCGAAGGAGAACGAAGCAGAAGAGGCCGAGAAGAAGGACGCGGCGACGGCGGCGACGGCGGCGACGGCCGCGACGGCAGCGACGGCGACCGCGGGCTTCGCCGCGTTCGAATCCACGGACGGCGACGGGTTCGCGTCTTTCGGCGACGACGACGCGTCCGGCGGGTTCGCGTCTTTCGACGCGAAGTTCGACGACCCCGCGCCGGCGCCCGCCGCCGCGGAGGGCGGGTTCGCGTCTTTCGACGCGAAATTCGACGACCCCGCGCCGGCGCCCGCCGCCGCGGAGGGCGGGTTCGCGTCGTTCGACGCGAAATTCGACGACCCCGCGCCCGCGCCCGCGCCCGTCGCGTCGGAGGGCGGGTTCACGTCGTTCGACGCCCCGGACGCGAAGGCGGACCCGTTCGCGTCCTTCGACGCCGCGCCGGCTCCCGCCGGCGGCGCGTTCGCCGCGTTCGACGCGCCAAAGTCTGAGATTGAACCCGCGGCGGTCTCCGCGACGGCGAGCTTCGCCTCCTTCGACGACTCCGACGCGAACGCGAACGCGAACGACGGGTTCGCGTCCTTCGACGCGAAGTTTGAAGAAACGCCCACCGACGCGAACGCGAACGACGGGTTTGCGTCCTTCGACGCGAATTTTGAAGAAACGCCCGCGCAGGGTGCGTTTTCACCCGCCGCGCGAGAGCCGACGTACGACAGCGACGGCGTCGAAGATTTCGCGACGAGCTCGGACGACGACGAGGAGCGCTCCGCCGCGGCTCCCCCACCCGCCGCCGCCGCCGCGCCCGCGGCCGCGCCGCCAGCCATCCCAGCGATGACGCCCGCCGAGCGCGAGCAAGCGTCCGTCGCGTACGCGCGGTTCACGGACTCTGGCGAGGTTGAACGCGCCGGCGACGGACGCATGTCCGGCGCTTCTCTCGTGGAGGTTACTAAAAACGCGGGGCTCGACCAGACCGACATGAGCGCGATATGGTCGCTGACCGTGCCGCCGGGCGCGTCCGGGCTCGCGCTCGACGACTTCTGTCTGTTCATGCACTTGCTGAGGCACAGGGTGAACGGGGGGGATCTGCCGGGGGCGTTGACCGGGGAGGAGCGCGCGAGGCTTCTCGGCGGCGACAGCGGATTCGGCGGCGGCGCGGCGACGACGACGACGCCGGCGGCGGGACCGCAGTTCGTCCGCGCCTTAACCCCCGACGAGCGCGCGTCGCTCGCGTCCGCGCACGCGTCTCACGTCGCGCCCGGCGCGGATGGCATGACGGGCGCGACGCTCGTCGAGCTCACCTCGGACGCCGGGCTGGACAAGTCGGACATGGCGAAGACGTGGTCGCTCGCGTCGCGCGCCGGGCGGTCGACGTTGGACGCGGACGACTACGCGCTGTTCATGCACCTTCTGAACCACAGAGTCGCCGGCGGCGAGCTCCCGGGTGGGCCGATGTCTTCGGGCGAGCGCGCGCGCATCTTAGGCGATGATGATGCGACGGTTGACGTTCCGTCTTCCACGCTCGACGCGGACGCGGCGGACCAGTTGGCGGCGATGGGGTTCGAGCCGAGCGCCGTCCGCCGCGCGTTGGCGCGGTTCGACGGCGACGCGGAGAAGGCTGCGGATTTCCTCGCGGCCGGCGGCGGCGCGGGGACGGCGCCGTCGTCGCCGTCGGCGTCCGTCGAGGAGCTCCCGGCGGCGGCGGAAGACGGAACGTCGTTCGGCGCGGCGGGCGGCGCCGGCGGCGGCGCCGGCGGCGTGCGACTCGTCGTGAAGCGCGTCGGCGGAATAAAAGACGCGTCCAAGTTGCAGCAGCTAAACGTGCGCGTGACGCTCTGCGACGGAAACGGCGCGGCGCTCGCGGCGCCGCGGACGATGCTCTCGAACGGCGCGCGCGGGGACGAGGTGCACTTCAACAGTGGGAACCACGTCGACTTCGAGACGCTGCGCTTCGGCGAGGCGAATCCGCCCGGTTTGCGGATCATCTGCGAGCTGCGGCACTTCAAGGCGAAGGAGAAAAAGATGAGCGTCAAGTGCTGGGCGTTCATCCCCGCCGAGGTGATCGAGCCGGGCGGCAACGTCGGGTTCGCGACGATGACGAAGCCGACGGACGCGAAGTTGAAGCGTCTGAAGGCGTTCAACGGACGGCAGCCGGACTTTATCGTCGCGTTCGAGGCGCTGTGACGACGCGATGTGATGAGCGAGTGTTCGCTGTGATAATGTGACGACGCGCGCGACGACTTTTTATTTAGACGATATGATAAGAGCGACGCACAGACACAGATCCTCGCGCGCGACCACCGCGCGCATGGCTCACGCGGTCGATTTCGGCGTCGTCGCGACGCGGACCGCGCGCCACGCGCGATGCCGCCTCGCGACGGCGGCGTCGCCCGCGCTCGCTCGCGCGCGCGCGACGACGCCGACCGACGGTAGCCGTCGTCGTCGCTCGGTATCATCATCATCGTCGTCGTCGTCGCCATCGTCGCGACGCCTCCGATCGCGTCGCGTCGTCGCGCGCGCCGGCGAAGACGACCCCGCCGCCCCAACCCCCGCCCCCCTCGACGACCTCGAAGACGTCGTCGAGGTCGAGAACGTGGACCCGATGACGTTCATCACGACGAGCACCGCGTTCTACGTTCTCATGGGCGTCGGCTCGCAAGTCGCCGCGTCGTTCCTCGGCGTCCACCCGGACGTCCTCGACGCGATGCGCGCGTGCAACGTCGACCAGGCGTCGCTGTGGACGCTCCCGCTCCTGGGCACGCTCGCGTTCGCGATCACGCAGGACGAGAAGTACGAGTGGCTCGGCGAGGTGCGCGATATCTTCAAAGCTGGCGTGCTCCCGTCCATCGCGCCGCTCGGCCTTCCCGGCGTCTTGGCGCTGTCGCTCGGCGCCGGCGTCGGCGAGGAGGCCTTCTTCCGCGGGTTTCTGATGCCGTTCGCGGACGGGAAGCTGCTCGAGCTCGGCGCGCCCGCGGAGGCGTCGTCCGCGCTCGTCCTCGCGTCCACGAGCGTGTTCTTCGGCGCGCTGCACGCCATCACGCCGGCGTACTTTTACTGGGCCACGGGCGCGGGCGCGCTGTTCGGTCTGGAGTACGTGCGGGACGGGTTGGGGACCGCGGCGTTCACGCACACGCTGTACGACTTCTTAGCGTTCGGGTTTATTTTGATCAAGTGGGGGCCGCAGAGCGAGGAGAAGAGCGAAGCGAGCGAGCGGTCGTAGCAGGAAGGATTTTTTTTTTTAGTCTCATTTTTTTTGACGTCGCGACGACTCCTAAACCCTCGATCGCGGAAGGGCTAGACCCCTCTCGCGGACGATCCTCGCGCGGTTCGCCTCCCACCACCCCCTCGCGGCGCCGTCCTTGAACGTCGTCTTGCTAAACCGCACCCTGCGGAGCGTCTCCTCCCCGGTCGTTGCGTCGACGCCGACGGTGAGAAAAACGCCCGGCTCGTGCTCCTCGATCCACTCCGACTCCGACGGCGTCCCGTCGGGCGCGGCGGCGACCGCATCGCCGCGGTCGTCGTCGTCCCACGCCGGTCGGCGGCCTCGCGTAGGAGATATCGTCGATGGCGAGCGAAGCGACGCGACGAACGACGCGTTCGCGGCGGCGGTCGTCGCGGATTCGTCCTCGCTCGGGGAGTCCCGCGGCGTGCCCGGCTGAAATTCTTCTGACGGATGCGGATACGGGTTGTCGTCGTGCCCGAACCCGAACCCGAACCCGCGGCCGTCCTTCCTCGCCGCGGGCGTGAGGTCCCCTCCCCCCGCCCGCGACGCGGCGAGCCTCAGACTCGAGAGCTCCATCTCCGCGAGCGCGACCTTCTCCTCGAGCGTCCGAGCTTTCACCTCGAGCGCGGCGGCGGCGCGAGCGGCCTCCGCGCGCGCCGCCTCCGCCGCCGCCTCCGCGGCTATCCTCGCGCGAGACGCGCCGGCGAGGTCGTTCAAGACCGCGCGCATCGCCGGCGTCGCCGGCGCGTCCATCGTCGACGGCGACGGCGGCGACGACGACGACGACGGCGTCGAAGAAGAAGAAGAGGACGACGACGAAGACGCCCTCGCCCTCGCCGCGGTCATCGCCTCGCGGAGCTCGCGCACTTCTAGAAGCAACGCGTCGCGTTCGCGAAGAACGTCCATCGAGTGGCGGCGGGGACCGACGGCCGGAGCGCCGCCGCCGCCGCCGCTGCCGCCGCGCGGGGCTAACCCCGCGCCGCGAAGGACCGACCCCGGGCCGCCGCCGCCGGTACCCGTCTCGACGACGTCGTGCACGCGCGCGCCGGCGAAAACCGTCGTCGGGTCTTTCCGGGTCTTTCCGACGGAGACGTCGTCGCCGTTCGTCGCCGCGACGCGCTCGCGCACTCGCTCGCGCTCGCGTTCTCGCTGCGGCGGCGGAATAGGCGGTGGGTTCTCGCGCCGCGCGCTCGCGCTCGACTCCCCGCTCCAAGAAGCCGCCTTCGCGAGCTCGATCTTCTCCCTCTTCGCCGCCTTCGCGAGCTCAGGGTCGTTCCATACGAGCGAATGTCGGGGTGGAGTTCAAAGGCGTCAGATGGAGTTGAAAGGCGTCGAAGGCGGGGATTGAAAGCGAGGTGTGGGCGGAGAGAGACGCCGGCAAAAGTCCTTAAGGATCGGCGTCCACATCGCCAACGCGGTCGTATGGGGACCAGTGTATAGAACGCACCTCAATCTTCTCCCTCTTGGTCAACGCCGCCGCGTCGACCACGACCGCGGTGCTCTCCGGCCCGCACGTCACCTCGCGTATCGTCCGCCCCTCGAGCGCGCCCTCGAGCAGCCGCGGCGCGAGCTCCTCGCCGAAGCCGCCGTGCCCGAGCGCGCCGCGCTTCCCGACGCCCCAGACGTAGAGCCGTCCGCGCCGCGTGAGCGCCGCGGCGTGCGAGTCCCCGCTCGAGAGCGACGCCACCGCGTCGGGGATGGACGCGATCCGGCGCGGCGTCGGCGGCGGCGGCGCGCCCGTCTTGCCGACGCTCCCGAGACACCACGCGACGCCGTTCGCGTCCAGCGCGAGCGTGTGCGACTGCCCGCACGACGCCGCGACGATCACGACGATCTCGCTCGCATTTTTTTCCTCTCCTCCTCCTCCTCCTCCTCCTCCCGGAGTCCAGTCCGCGACGCGCCGCGGCGTCGGCACCGGGACGTCGTCGGTCACGTCCGCGTGCCCGAGCTTCCCGCCGTCGCCGTCGCCCCACGTGTACAGCTGTCCGTCGTCGACGACCGCGGCGGTGTGCCACACGCCGCACGAGACGTCCGCGACGACGCGCCCGCGGAGTCCCTCCACGCGTCTCGGTCGCGGCTCCGACGTCGGCGGGCGCGACGCGCCGCCGCCGCCGCCGCCGCCGCCGCCGCCGCCGTGCCCGAGCGCGTGAAACGCGCCCTCGCCCCAGGTGAACAGCGCGCCGTCCACGGACACGGCGGCGACGTGGAACATCCCGACGCTGACGCGCGTTATGCGCGCCTCCGGCGACGACGACGACGACGACGAAAACCAAATCCGCGACAGCGTCCATCGCGTCGCCGCGTCCTCCGCGGACGACCCGCCGCCGCCGCCGCCGACGCCAAAGTCGTCGCCGGACCCTCCCCACGCGTACAACGCGCCGCCGCCGTCTTCCACGCCGTCGTCGTCGCGATCGCGCGTCAACACGACGGTGCGATCGCCGCCGCATCTCACCACCGCGCGCGCGCCGCCGTCGCCGCCGCCGCCGGCTTTAACGTCGAACACGTCGTCCGCGGCGCGCACGCGCGTCGGCGTCGCGCGGTCGACGACGTCGCCGTGCCCGAGCCTCCCGCCGACGCCGTCGCCCCACGTGTACACTCCGCCCGCGCGCGTCGCCGCGACCGCGTGCCGCGTCCCGAGCGCGATCGAGCGCGGGTCGCACGCGGCGCCTCCGAGCGCGGGGACGGGAGACGGCGTCATCACGAAGCGGTCGACGACGACGTGATGCGGCGACGACGCGAGCGTCTCCGGCGTCGTCATCACGCTCGGGACGCGGCCCCAGACGAAGACGTCGCCGGGCGGCGGCGGCGCGGGGTTTCCGCCGCTCGTGGACGCGTCGGTGGACGCGCGCGCGCGCTCGGCGCGGTCCGCGGCGGAATCGGCGGCGGCGAACGGCGTCGAAGACGGCATCATCGATGCCGTCTTCGCGTCGCGTCGCGTCGCCGCGGCCGCGCGTCGCGCCGTCTCGACCGCGAGCCGGATCCCGCGCACCCACGTCGCGCGCTGCGCCGCGTCCTCGCACGCGAGATCTAACGTCCTGCGGCGCTTCTTCCTCCCCGCGTCCGCGCCGCTCTCCCCGCGCGCGACGGTCGTCGTCGACGCTCGGCCGGTCGAGGCGACGTCGTCGTCGTCGTCGTCGTCGCCGTCGCCGTCGGCCCCCGCGTCGCCTCGTCCGCGCTCGCGATCGTACACGACGCTGAAGCACACGTCGTCGGGGTGGACGCGCTCGGTCGCGGACGCCCTCTTGAAGACGTCCGACCGGCGCCCTTCCGCGACGTGAAGGACGCCGAGCAGCGACACGCGCTTCGTCTTGGCGCGTCGGCCCACCCACTCGATCGCGCGCGCGTCGCTCGAGATCTGCACGTGCGCGAGATGCGGCCGCGCGCCGCCGCGGCAGTACTTCACGAGCGCGGCGCCGCGCCTCGTGAGCGTCCTCGCCTCATCGTCCATCCCCGCGCGGGGCGCCGCCGCCGCCCTGGGGTCCGACGCGGCGCCGGGCTCGTCCCGCCGCCGTCGATGTGACGCCGTCGTCGTCGCAATCGGGAGTTCAAAAAGTCGGATAGCGCGACTCATCAACCGCGGCGGTTGTTGTTGTCAGCATCTCGCAGCGCGCGCGGGGAGCCGAGCCACGGGCGACGCCGCGATGGTGGGCGACGCCGCGACGGGCGACGACGCGCTCGCGTGGAGCGATATCCGGTACGTCGTGGGCAGAGCGAACAGGGTCGTCCTCGACGGCACGAGCGGCGTCGCGCGCGCGTCGCGCCTGCTGGGAATCCTGGGCCCGTCGGGCTCGGGGAAGACGACGCTCCTGAACGTCCTCGCGGGAAGGCTCAAGACGGACGGGACCGCGACGAACACCGCGACGACGACGACGATGCGCAAGCGACGCGCGAGGCGCGGCGTCGCGACCGGGCGCGTCGCCTACGCCGGCGACGCGAGCGGTCGCGGCGGTCGCGGGGCGACGCCGCTGTCCTACGTCGAGCAGGATCCAAAGTTTTTCAGCAACCTGACGGTCCGAGAGACGCTGACGCTCGACGCGGCGCTGCAGGGCGGCGACGCCGCGGACGTGGACGCGATCATCCGCAGGCTCGGGCTCGTCGCGTGCGCGGACTCGTACGTCGGCGGCGACACCGGCGGGAAGGCGGTGCGCGGGATAAGCGGCGGCGAGCGGCGACGCCTCGCCATCGCCGCGGAGACGCTGTGCCTTCGCAACGCGAGAAGAAGAAGAGACGCGGACGCGGGCGCGGGCGCGGGGGGGGGGCACGAGGCGAGGACATCATCGGCATCGTCGTCGAGCCCACAACGCGGCGGCGTCATCCTCGCGGACGAGCCCACGACCGGTCTGGACGCGCACCAGGCGGACAAGATCGTCCAGAAGCTCAGAGAGACCGCGGTCGAGGAAGCCGCCGCGGTGGTGTGCGTGGTGCGTTCTGTGAGAACCGTTTTTCACCCACCGCTCGGTTTCAACGTGTGATCGCGTCCCCTTTCAACTGACCGGTGAACTTTTTTGTACGGAACGGCCCTCAGTTGCACCAGCCGAGGAGCGCCATCTTCGACACGCTCGACGACCTCCTTCTGCTCGCCTCTGGCGGGCGCGTCGCGTACTGCGGCCCCGCGAAGGACGCGCTGAGGCACTTCGAGGAGATCGGGCACGCGTGCCCGAGGTATCACAACCCCGCGGAGTTTTTGATCGATCTCGTCGCCGTGGACGCGGACGGCGGCGTCGAGGCGGAACGCGCCGACGTTGAACGCGTCGACGCCATCGCGGAGGCGTGGAAAGCGACCGCGGCGGCGAAGCGCCACGCCACCGCGGCGGCGGCGCTGCTGCGCGCGTCGGATAAGGCGACGGCGACGGCGACAGCGACGGGGATCGAACCGGGGGCGAGGGGGACGAGGGAGAAGGACGCCGGCGCGCGTCGGCGACCGCCGGGCGCGTTCGGACAGTTCAAGCTTCTCGTCGGGCGCGCGTTTAAGCAGTGCAGACGCGAGGCTTGGGTCAACGGCGTCAGGCTCGTCGCGTCCGCCGCGCTCGCGCTCGCGTTCGGCGGCTGCAACTACGACGTCGGCCTCGGCGGCAAGTCCGTGAAGCGACGCGCCGCGGTGATGATGCAGGCGTGCATCAACACGTCGATGCTCGCGGTGTGCCGGTCGCTGAACGGATTCCCGCGCGAACGCGCGACGGTCTCCAGGGAGATGTCCCGCGTCAGCGGCGGTTACAAACCCGGGCCGTACTTCTTCAGCAAGCTCCTGGTGGAGACGCCGATCGACATGATCTTCCCGGTCGTCTTCGGCGGCGTCATGGGGCCGATGGTCGGGTTACGGGCTGGCGGGAAGAAGATGTTTTTGACGACGCTCGCGCTGCAGACGGCGTCGGCGTCGTGCTTGGGGCTGTCCGTCGGCGCGCTCGCGCCGAGCGCGGAGATGGCGCTCGCGATCGGGCCGTGCATCATGGTCCTGAGCATCATGCTCGGGGACGAGAGCGGCGCGTTCGCGGAGGTGCCGGAGTCGCTGCGCGGGGTGTCGAACTTTTCGCTCATCAAGTGGGCGTTTCGCGGGTGCCTGTGTTCGGAGTTTGAAGGCCTCGTGTTCGACCCGCTCGATAAACGCGGGGAGGAGAAGAAGAAGAAGAATGCCAACGGCGCCGCCGGAGGCATCGCGAAGCGCGCGGCGAGGAACGCGATGGAGGGCGTCTGCCCGAGGACCGGAGAGGAGGTGTTGGAGGGGTTGGGCCTGCCGACGAGCGGCGGCGCGGCGCGCGCGGCCAAGGCGCAGGCGCGTCCCATACACTGTTTCCCATACGACCGCGTTGGCGTGGTGAACGCCGATCCTTAAGGACTTTGCCCGGCGTGTCTCTCCGCCCAGGGTCCTTCGCTTTCAATCCCCGCCTTCGACGCCTTTGAACTTCAACTGACGCCTTTGAACTCCACCCCGACGTTCGCTCGTATGGAACGACCCTCAGTGCGGCGTGTTTCTCGCCAACGCGGCGGTCACCTACGTCGCGTTGCGGGCGAAGGGGGGGGCGTCGTGACGCGATGGAAGCGCGAGGCGGGTGGGCGGGGGGAGGAGGGGACGACGATGACGAGAGGAGAGGAGGCGAGACGAGGACGCGCGCGGGAAGCGCTCGCGAAGGCGGCTCGCTTGCGCGATACACGACGTGTACACGTACTGTACGTGTAGAGAAAAGTTTGATGAAAGTCGCCCACGCACGTGTTGGCTGTCGCGACTTTTGACGCTTCGCTTGAAACCCTCGATCCTCGATCGTCGAATCGCCGTCGCCGCGCGTCATCCGCCCGCGCGCCGCGGCGCCTCGCAGTCATGGGCTGCTTTTGCTGCGCGGAACCGATCGATGAGGAACCCGAGAAGCGCGAGCCGCCGACGCGACGGAGCCTGAGCGGCAAGCACGGCGCGAACCTCCGCGCGGTGAGCGTCGTGAGCAAACTCCACCTCAGCGTGCACGACCAAGGCCATCCGCTCGAGAAGTACGACGTCTTGGACGTCATCGGCACCGGCGGGTTCGCGGTCGTCAAGCGCGTGCGCGAGAAGCGCACGGGGAAGAACTACGCGATGAAGATCATCAACGTCGCCGTGGACGCGTCGAAGAAGATGGTGAAGAAGCCGTCGGACGAGGACGACGCGGACGACGAGGTCGTCATGAGCGTCAAAGAGGTCCTCAGCGAGATCGAGACGCTGCGAACGCTGCGGCACGACGCGATCCTGCGGCTGATATCCGTGTACGTGCAGCCGGAGGAGAAGCACGTGTACGTCGTCACGGAGCTTCTGCACGGCGGCGCGGTCCTGGACGCGATTCTGAAGATGAAGGACGAGCGCTACACCGAGGCGGAGGCGAAAGTCGTCGTCCGGCGGACGCTGGAGGGAATTCAGTACATGCACGAGAACGGCGTCGTGCATCGCGATCTCAAGCTCGAGAACCTGCTGTTGAAGCGCGACGACGACCTGTCCTCCGTCGTGATCGCGGACTTCGGGTGCGCGTTCTCCTCGACGCGCTGCGTTTCTTCCCGACCCGAGACGGGACGGGACGGGACGCCGCGGCCGGTCCCCGGCCGCGGACCTCCGTCGTTTCGCCCTCTCATTCATTGCCTTTCCTCGTCCTCCGTCCTCGTCGACGCGCGCGCGAAAATTGAAAATGAATCACGTCGCCCTCCCTCCCCGCGCAGGCTCGCGAAACGGTGCCGGCTTCAGGACGACGCCCGAGCGCTCCCGCACGCGAAGGGCGTGGACGACAGCGCGGTCGGGACGCCGGTGTACGCCGCCCCGGAGGTTGTCGAGAAGAAATCCTACGGCGCCGCGGTGGATATGTGGAGCCTCGGCGTCATCGGCTACATCGTCGTCACCGGAGCGATGCCGCGAGACCTGTGGAAGAAAGCGCTCAAGCACGGACGCATCGAGAAGGACGACTTCGGGTTCGACTGCTACGAGTGGGACACGGTCTCGCAGAACGCGAAGGACTTCATCGTCGCGTGCCTCACTCTGAGACCGAAAGACCGCATGACGTCGAAGGCGGCGTTGAACCACCCGTGGATGAAAAACGTCGAAAACGTCAAACCCGCGCCGTTGCGCATCAAAAACAAGCTGAGAGACTTCGCGAAAGGGATGAAGCTCCCGACGAAGAAGTACGCGAAGGGAGACTACCTCATCAAACAGGGTCAGCGCGCGGTGGACGTGTTCCTCATCAAGCGCGGGACCGTGGACGTCCTCGTGGAAGACGCCTTCGGAGAGAACGTCAAGGTGGCGACGCGAGAAGCCGGGGAATTCATCGGCGAGATGAGCGTCGGCGCGGGGGTGCTGCGATCGAACAGCTCCAAGTCCGGGAGCGAGCCCTCGACGCCGAAGGGCGGCGGCGGCGGGGTTGGGGACGAGAAGGGTGCGACGAGTGCGAAGGGCGCGAAGGGCGAGAAGGACTCGTCCTCGTCGTCGTCGAAGAACACGTCGCCGTCGTGGGGCGCGGCGCTGGTGGCGGTGTCGGCGGCTAAGAAATGGATCGGACCTCGACGAACCGCGAGCGTCGTCGCGGCGACTGAGGTGGAGTGTCTGGTGTTGGGGAAGCGAGAGATGGAGTGGGCGGTGACGCACGACGAGAGCATCAAGAATGAGCTCGCGAGGCAGATCTCGAGTCGGCGGGATCAGACGGAGGAGAAGCTCGAGCGGAGGGCGAGCACGTCGAGAGAGCGTCCGAATCGGGTGTGACGCCGCGACGAAGGCGCGACGACGACGACGACGCGCGCCCTCCGCGCCGCCGCCGCCCCGCTTCGCCGTGAAACTAACCTTATCACCGCACGGTGTGCATTTGGAATCATACAGTAGTGTCTAAGCTACGCGCTACTCGTCCTACTCGATCGCGTCGTCGTCACAGCATCGGGCACTGCGGCGGCGGCGTCTGCCCGAAGTACTGCCGCCGCATCAGCCGGTCGTGCAGCTCGTGCGCCTCCTGCATCGAGATGGTCCCGTCCGCGACGCGCTTCTCCCTCTCCGCGCCGCCTTCCACGAGCTTCCCCTCGCGCACGACGAACGTCCCGGCCTCTCTCTTGTGCCTCCCTCCCTTCCGGGTCGTCATCCGGAGGTATCCCACCCTCGCGACGAGCTTCTTGAGGTGCTCGAGTCGCTTCGACTCGGAGGGCTCGTCCGCGTTCGCGCGGATCGCGTCTCGCGCCTCCGCCACGATCTTCTCGCGGTTCGCGACCGGGCGCGACCGGCGCGCGACGTCGACGAGGTCTCGGTACGCCTTCAGGACCTGCGCGCGGTGCCGCGCCGCGGCGGCCGCGATGCCCACCCCGGACGACGCCATCCGCGCTCGCGCGCGCGCGACGATGAAGAGGAGGAGGACTGTGTGGCTCTCCTAGGCTTTCGCGCCGGCGACTGCTGTGCGACTGTGACTTCGTTCCGTTCGTCTGTTTCGATCGACCGCGACCCTCGTCGCCGCGCCGCGGCACAACGCCTCGCGCCGAGGACGATGAAGTCGTTCAGCGTGACCGTCCCGTCCGAGATCGTCCCCGCCGCGGACGACGCGAGCGCGGCGTCCAAGGACGAGCCCGCGGCGGGCGCGTCGTCCGCCTCGAAGGGTTCGGGATCTGGACCGGGCGCGAAGACGCCGGACGACGGGTGGCCCGGGCCGTGGTTCACCGTCCTCGCCGCGTGCGTCTACGCCCTCGCCGCGCTGTATCAGTGGCGGTACCCGACCTCGGGGCTCGTGGAGGACGAGATGACGACTCTCGCGATACGTCGCGTGAACGGCGTCGTGCGCGACGCCGCGTGCGGCGGGTGGGAGATGAGCGACGGGACGTGGAGCTCGTTCGCGGGGAGCGGCACGGCGTGGCACCTGGGCGCGATCGCGCGCGAGCGATGCGGCGCGAAAAAGCTGAGCCATCTCGCGGCGGCCGAGGTCATCGACGGGAGGCGCGTCGTCGTGATCGGCGACTCGAGCGCGCGGCACGTCTACGCCGCGATCGTGCGCGCTGCGCACGCGAACGCCAGCGCGTGGAGCGAGGCGAGAGACATGGACGCGGTCGCGAACGGAGAGAAGCATCGCGACTGGGAGTTTCCGACGCCCGGCGTTCGCGGCGGCGGGATCGCCGCGTTCAAGTGGGCGCCGTACGCGCAGAACATCACGTCGTACCTCGCGGAGATCGAGCGCGGCGAGGAGCCGGCACCGGACGTCCTCGTCATGGGGGCGGCGCTGTGGCACGCGTTGCACGTGCGATCGGAGGAGGAGTACCTCGCCGCGCTGAGAGGGCTCAAGACGCAGCTGGCGAAGACGACCGCCGCCGTCGCCGCGACGCCGGCGTCTTTCGCGTCCGACGGCGACGGCGACGGCGGCGACGACGGGAGCGGAGGCGGCGACGACGCGGAGGAGACGCCGGGACGGACGCGCGGGGCCCCGCGCGCGTTTTGGCTCGCGTCGACGACGACGGACCCGACGCTCTTCTCCGACGCGGCGAAGCGCGAGCACATGACGCCGAAGCGCGTCAAGGCGTTCAACGCGGTCGCGATCGAGTCGGGTCTCGTGCCGCCGCGTCCAATCGCCGGCGCCGGCGTTCCCTCCGCGGAGGAGGAGGACGCGGCGCCGCCGCCGCCGCCGCCGCCCGCGGCGCCGTGCCAGCCGATCGATTTGGAACGGATCACGACGACGTGCGGGTGGAAGTGCACGAAGGACGGCGTGCATTACAAGCCGGAGGCGTACGACGCCGCCGCGAGCGCGGTTCTGAACGCGCTGCGGGCGAACCCGGGGTGGGGGGTCGCGCGGTGAGAGCGGGGGAGCGGCGGCGCTACACTACTCTATTTTTCGTTTGTGAGCACGCACAGCCTGGCAGATTTTCTTCAGACGAGCTGAATGAGACCTGATGATGAGAGCCCCCCTCGCCCATCACACCGCCTCGCGAGGCCGCGCGCGATGTCCGCGTCCGCGACGCGCGCGCCGCGCGTCGCGTCCGGTGGGGACCGCCGCGCGCGCGCGCCGCGCGCTCGCGCCGTCGCGGCCCGCGCCCCCGCCCCGCTCGCGTCCCCCAGCGGCGCTCCTGTGCGCCATCGCGCGATAGATCGCGCGCGCGTCGCGTTCGCCGTCGCCCCGCCCCCCTCGCGTCGTCGCGCGGAGCGGCTCGCGCAAACGCGCGCGTGGGTGGACAACACCGCGGAGGTGGACGTCCCCGTCCCGATCGCGGTGGTGTGGGAGCTGTGGCAGGACAAGACGCGCATCCCGCGGTGGATGCCGTGGATCCACAGCATCGACGTCGTGGACGAGACGCGGAGCCGATGGAATCTTCGCACGAATCAGTTCGGCCAAGACTTCAGCTTCTCGTGGACCGCGACCGACTTCCCGCCCATCACGCGCGAGAAGATCCACTGGCAGAGCACGGAGGGCCTCCCGAACCGCGGCGCGGTGACGTTCGCGGGCGGCGTGGGCGGCGCGGCGACCAACGTGCGCATTCGGATCAGCTACGAGGTGCCCGACGTGTTGGCGCCGTTCGGAGGCGCCGTCGCGCCGCTCGTGGAGAATATCCTGCGCGCGGACCTCGCGCGGTTCAGCGAGTTCGCGCGCAAAGTTGGACGCGCGATGGCGAGGAGCGGCGTCGGGGGAGACGACGACGACGCGTGATCATGACCGCGATCGCGATGCGACGACGATGACGACGCCGCGGACGGCGCGCGTGCTGTCGGTAAAATAGACTAGAAGAACCTACGTGTACGTGTACTCGCGCGCTAAAGGATCCTATATGCGACGACGACGACGACGACGACGCCGCCGCGCGGCTTCGTCAGAGATTTGATCGCCGCCCCGCCTCCGCCTCCGCCGCCGCCGCTTCCGCTTCCTCGCGCTCGAGCCTCTCGATGACGTCCGTCGCCTCCGCGAACGCGACGGAGCCCAAGACGCCGCCGTACTTGTGCTCCTTCCACGGCGGGTCGAACGGCAGCGCGAACGCGTGCATGTGCAGGTGATCGACGCTGTTGAACGGCGGCAGATGAAAGCCAAACTTCGTGTCTGGCGTCGTCGTCGCGTCCGCGTAGTCGCGCGCTATCGCCTCCTTCCCCAGCTCGAGCATCCGCCGCGCCATCGCGGCGTCGCCTCCTCCTCCTCTCGCCCGGTCCCCATCCCCGCCGTCGTCGTCTCCTTCTCTCCTCCCCGCGCCGCTCAGCGCGTTCGCGGACGTGATGTGTTCGCGCGGGCACACGAGGTAGTGCCTCGCCGCCGCGGGCTTCCAGTCCTCGAACACGACGAGCGCGTCGTCCGCGTGCACGAACGTCTCGTCGCGCGCGCTCGACGCGATCTTCGCGCAGAACTCGCACGTCTTCGGGCGCGCGACGCGGTCGTCCTTCGGGAGGATGTTCCACGACTGGAAGAGCTCGTACGTCCACGCGGTGAGGCCCATCCCCCCGTCTTCGGCTCTCCGCGCTCGATCGCGCGATCCGCGAGCGCGTGCGCGGCGGGCGCGCGCGCGATGGCGCGAACTGCGAGAAGCACCCGTGGATAAAACCGTAGTGTGAGACCGGCTCGGATCTCGCGAAACGCTTTCGCGTACGCGTGCGCCGTGCCACAGAGCAAACAGTTACGAAGTCGCGATAGGCGTAGTACGCGTATCCAGCGTTCTGATTGGCTGAGATCCCGACTGCGCTCGGCTTTTTTATCGCGGACGGCGGCTTGGTCGGGTCTTCACAAGCCCAGCGCGTCGCGTCGTGCCCCCGCGGTTCGAGCTTCGTTTCGTCCAAGTCGTCGTCGCATCGCGTCGACGCCCCGTCTGCATCGAGGACGCGAGCGCTCGAGCGCCGACGCACCCGCGCGGCGAGGGTCGAATCGCGCGCGCAGAAGAAAAGAAAAGAAAAGAAAAGCACACAGAATCCATCCGTGTCCAGCGACCGTGAACGATGAGCGAATACGACGACGAGGCCCCGCCCCGGCGCACCGGGGACCTGTACGAGCCCGAGGAGATGATCCTCAAGCCGAGCAAGCTCAACTTCCGACGACGGATGAAGTCCGAAGCGGGTGCGCGAAGACGCCGTCGCGCGCGACGCGAGCCCCGATTCCCCTAAATAAACCAAACCCTCGAGCCGTAGGTTTTTCGCGTCGCCCTCCCTCGATCCTCGATCCTCGATCCTCGATCCGTCGACTCACCGCGACCTCCCTCTCTCCCTCTCTCTAAATCGCACGCAGTGATCCGCCGTAACATCTGGTTCTACCGCGACCGCACCGGCCTCCCGCGAGGTCCGATGACGATCGACACCGTGAAGAAGTGCTGGATCGGCGGCATCATCGACGAGCACACGCTCGTGTGGGGCAACGGGCTCGGCGACTGGGTCCCGCTGCGAAACATTCGCGGCATGGGCCACGTCCTGAACGACCCGCGGACGCGCTTCCTGAAGTGGATCACGCAGAAGGTCGCGTTCCCTCGAGCGGAGGTCAGAGCGAACCGCGACCGGCTGTACGAGGAGGGCAAGGCGGCGTCGCCGGTGATGAAGTCTCGCGAGGAGGTAGCCGCGTGGAAGGCGGCGCGAGAAGAGCGGCTGTCGAGCGGCGAGGATAACTTGATGTTGTCCATGTCGCTCGCGCTGCCGACCCCGGGTCGCGCGGCGGAGCGGATCGGGGCCGCGGTCGAGTTCGTGCGCGGGAAGATGAAGATGGGGGGGAAGAAGGCGCGCGCGGAGGAGGAGGAAAACGGCGGGCTTCGACGCGCGTGAGCGGCGGCGGCGGCGGCGGCGGCGGCGGCGGTCGAGGGAGGAGGAGGGTTCTTCGTTCTGATGAGCGCACTTTGTGACGACGCGATCGATGCGCGACGCGCGTCCCTCGTTCGCGCGCGCACGTCGTCGTCGTAGCGCGTCTCGCCATCCCGTCCCCTCGCGAAGTCCCCCCTCCTCGACGCGCGCGGCCCTCGGTTTTTCTCGGACGAACGAACAGAGGAAAAGAGGAGAGAGAAAACGTTTCGCTTTCGTTCCTCGGACGCCGCGCGCGGAATACCCCACACGAGCCGCGCGAGCGTCGTCATGATCCTCGCGCGACCGCGCCTCGCGCTCTTCGCCCTGCCCGTATCGCCGCCGTCGCGTCGCCGCCGCGTCGCCGTCGCGCCGCTCGCCGCTTCCAAGAAAAAAAAGAAACAGCAACCCTCCGACGTCGGCGACTCGCAAGACCCCGTCCCCGTGGTCGAGCCGTCGCGGACGACGAAGAAGGAGCACTGGGTCGAAGACTCTGAAGATGACGGCCCTCTGCTGGACGTGGACGCCGGGGCGAAGCCGCGGTCCGTGCGAGGAAAGAACAAGAAGCCCGTGAAGACGACGGCGAGCCCCGCGCAAAAGCGCGCCGTCACTACCCCCTACGGCGGTCGTCGCGCTACCCGGCCCCTACGGTACGGTGCTGTCAAGATAGATACGACTCGGCCAACCCAGGTACCAGGTCTAGTATCTAGAGGTTCCTCATGGGTGAGTATAAACTGCGCCTTCGAAGACTTCCCTTTCGACGATTTCGTCGATTTCGTCGCGTCGGTGAACGACGCGGTATCGGAGACCATGGCATCGAAAGTGGACGCGAGTGCGGAGCGGAAGGACGACGATCTGAACGAGGACGACTTTCTGTGAGACGACCAGACGGCGACGGCCGCGAGCGAGCGCGTCGGTTGAGTGTTTTTTTTTCTCATGATTCAAATAAAGAAAAGCATCCTCGTAGTGTGCGCATAAATACAATACAAGACGTCGTTCGTTCGACGACGCGTCGCTTAGGCGTACATGCAGTACAGACCCGCGAGGGAGAGCGCGGTCATGAGAACCTCGGGCACCTGTGGACGCGGGGGGCGTCTTGCGTCAGTTACTCATTTTTCACGTCGCGGGAGAATTTACTCAATTGAATTACGCGTCACGGAGGAGTCCGCGCGCGCTCGGCGGACCCCGTGAAGCCACCGCGGCGACGTCGCCGCCGCGGCGCGGCGACGGAAAGCGAAGCGTGGACGATCGATCGATTCGGATTCGACGACGCGCTGAAAGGTAACGTGACGTACGTAGTGCATCGGGTACTTCACGGGGAGCTTCTTCGCGCCGATGAGCCCAAACTTCGCGTTCATCGGGTAGAGGACGTTGCACGCGACGCTCGCCGCGGTCGCGACCGGGAGCGCGGCGGCGGTGGGCATCGTGTAGACGCAGTACGCGAGCCCGCCCCAGGCGACGGACGCGCCGCGGATCCAGAACTGCACCATCGGCGTCGCCGGGGCTTTGAAATGATCCGTTACCATCTTCGCGGGAACCAGGAGCATCTGCGCGGCGTAGACGGCCATGACGACGACGAACGCCTGGATGTACTGCTGGGCGGTGATGAGCGCCATCGTGCGTGGGGTGTGATGAGAGGAGAACGAACGGGGGAGTTCGGGGGTGGGGTGCGTGCGTGCGAGGAGCAAGCGCGCGGTCGGGGAATGCGTTCGCGCGGCGAAAAGCGTTTGCTGACGCGGCATCGCGGGTTCGCGGCTCGTACGCGTACGTCGTACCCCTAGAGAGTTGTAGGCAGGCGCGTACTCACATCGATCGGGGGGGGGTTCCGATTAAAAATGTTGAAAGGGTATTTTTCATCGCAAGAGCCGATCAAAAGCTAAACCGCGCCGAAAAACACACGCTGAGACAGCAAGCGTCCGGCACATACCGGTAACGACGGACCGGAAAGGAGTGACCGGAAAAGACCGGTTCTATGCGTTTTTAGTCTGAGTACGGAATTATCTGTACGAGTAAGCTGGCGTCTCCCGGGACCCCGCACCCCCGCGCGTTTACGCGCTTCTGGCGTCGCCGAGACAGCTCGGACGCCGTCGCCAGAGTGAGATGAATTGCGCTAAACACCGTACTGCGTCGATCAATGCGAAAATAATGGGCGGTAAGTGCAGTCATGCTGCGACGACGACGGGTGCTGAACTCGCGCGCGCGATTTGTCCCTCGCATCTTCGGTGGCCGGCCGGCCTTTTTTTTCGCAAATCGATGATTCCGCTGCGACGTTCTCTTCGCGGCGCCATTTACGACGTGTTCTTGACATAAAGTGGTATCAGTTTTTTACACGAATCCACGCATCATGGTGTTCAAAGCATTTCATCCCACTGTTGCGACGGCGTTTACGGGCACTCAGCGACGGCAGAAGCGCTGAACTTGCGCGGGGGGGGTGGGTCCAGAGTCTCGAATTTTGCCGTACTCGTACTTCGTACTCTAACTAAAAACCCCTACCGGTCCCTACCGGTCTTTTCCGGTCACTGTTTTCCGGTGCATCGTAACGATTATCGTCCGGCACACCGAACCGTTTCTTGGAGTCGTTGCTTTCTCAATCTCGTCAGTGCGTCGCTCGCTCGCTCCGCATGGGAGGAGGACGCGCCCGCGGAGGACGCGCGCGCGAACGCGCGCGCCACGATGGAACGCGCGACGCGGTGTCGCCGGTCGCGGCGATCGATCCCGCGCGCGAGGGCGACGACGACGACGACGACGACGACGCGTCCGTCGCCGTCGGCGGCCGAACGAAGAAATCGCTGACGTTCGTCTCGGAAACGGATCGACCGACGCCGGACGCGCGGACGACGGCGACGGCGACGGCGACGGCGTCCTCGCCGGAGATGCCGCGCACGCCGTCGCCGCCCAAGCCGACCGCCGCGAATCATCCCGCCGCCGACGCCGACGCCCGCGTGCGCGAACGACGCGATGATGAGCTCCTCCCGAGCATCCGTCCGCTCGGCGAAGAAGCGGACTCACCGCGCTCGATCGACGCGTCCCCGCCGCCGGCGTCCTCGCGCGCGCACTCCCAGAGCACGCCGACGACGCCGCAGTCGCACGAGAAGTTGCTGGGGGCTTCAGGGAGGAGAGCGAACGCGAGAGCGAACGCGACAACAGCGGGGTCTCCCGCGCCGCCGTCGCCGTTGCGTCTCACGCCAATCAACGCGGTGTCGCAGTTCAGAAAATCGCTCGCGGCGTTGCGCGCGCTCGGCGTGGACGTCGACGGCCTCGCCGCCGCGACCGACGACGTCGACGTCGACGCGCATGTTGTCGCGATGCGCACGCCGCGAAGCTGCGAGAACGAAGAACAGGAGACGGCACAGATGGAGATTCTTCTCTCCGAGAGGAGCCGCCATCGCGCGTCGGCGCAGCGGCTGGAGCGAGAGAACGAGCTGCTCGCGGATCGCGTCCGCGTGCTCGAAGAGCGCGTCGACGAGCTCGGCGGCGAGGACGCGTTCGCGATCACCGAGGAGGAGATGCGCGCGCTCGATTTCGAGCTCGAGGGCGCGCGGAGGGAGGCGGAGACGTCGCGGGAGGAACGCGCGGTGTTGACTGAGGCGGCGGCGGCGGCGGCGAGACGCGCCGAGGCGACGGCGGCGGCGGCGGCGGCGGCGGAACGCCGCGCGTCGGAGCTCGAGCGCGAGCTGGAGGCGCGCGGGGCCGCGGACGTGCGCGCGTTCGTGCGCGGGGTGTTTAGAAACGTTCTCGACGCGGGGGGCGAGGGCGAGGAGAAGAAGAGCGCGTCCATCTTGACGAAGACGAAGACGACGAAGCGCGGCGGCGGCGGCGCGGCGCGGCGGTCGAGCGCGTTCAACGCGTGCCTCGTCGTCCTCGTCGCGTTCGCGATCGCGCTCACGGGAAGACTGCACACCTCGGAGCAGCAGCGCGCGGTCGTCGGAACCTACGCGACGTGCGCGCCGCCGCCGGCCGTCGTCGAGTCGCCGTTCGGCGTCGTCGCCGCGACCACCCCGGCGACGGCGTGCGACTGCGACGCGCCGCTCGCGAGTCGTCCGGCGCACTCTCCGCCGCCGCCGCGGCCGCCGGTCGCCGCGTCGCCGGTCGTCGAGGCGTCCGCAGAGGAGGAGGAGGCGGCGGCGGAGGCGGAGGAGGTCGATCGCTCGACGCCGCCGTGGGCGTGGGCGCCGCCGCCGTCGGGATCGCCGTCCCCCGCGGAGGACGACGATCTCGCGGCGGCGGCGCCGCCGCCGCCGCCCTCGCCGCCGGTCGACGCGGACGCGATCGACGCGGAAGCGCGCGCGGAGGCGGCGCTTCGAAAGTACGCGCGCGTGGACTTCGTCGGCGGGTTCGCGACGCTCAGCGGGCGCGACCAGCGCATCGACGCGACGACGAAAGCGTCGGCGTCGGGCTCCGTCGGGCTCTTTCGCGCGGACGCGTACGACGACGACGACGGCGACGACGCGACGTTCGAAGACGTGCTCAAGAGCGGGTGGGACCTGTGGCGCCGCAGCGGCGCGAGCGACCGCCGCGTGCGCGTCAAGGCTGCCGCGAGACGCGCGGAGACCGCGCTCGAGTCGAGCAAGGAGACGAGGGACGGCGCGAGGGAGAGCGCGAGACGGTGGGAGGCGGCGGCGGCGGCGGCGGGTGCGCGCGGCGCCGCCACCGTCGCGGAGCGTCAACGGCTGACGTTCGAGGCGAGCGAGCGCGCCGCGGAGGCGTCGAGCGCGAGGAGGAGGTATAAGGAGTCGCGAGCGAAGGCTGTGAGCGCGGTGCGCGCGTTGGAGGTGGAGATGCGCGCGTTAGCGGGGTGACGCGTCGAGGAGTCTGCGGTAGCCCTCGCGTTAGGCCGACGCTTCACCGAGCTAGATTTCGATTTTCGAAAGCAAAACTAGGGTCAAAGAAAATGTTTTTTTGCGTTGAAAAATTGAGTTTCACCCTGGTTTCACCGATAGAAAAACTCTGAAATTCTCCCCCCGATATTTCTGTTGTCGAGGCCGAGTCACGGTCGCGGCGGAGCGCGAGATCTACATCCGCGCGCGCGCTTCCAGAGCGCGACGCTACGCGCGGCGCGACCTCCTCCCGCCGCGACGCGCTTCGCGCACGCGCGCTTCGCGCCCGCGCGCGCGGACGACCGCGGCGACGCCTCCGGTCGCGCGCAGCCCAGAGCCTCGTCGCGCGAATAAAACGAACACCGCGACTCCGTCCCGACCCGACCCGGGGGGAAAGCGACGGTCGCGGCGTCATGCGTCGCGCGATCCGCGCGCGCGAGCTCGACCCGACCGCGCGCCTCGGCGCGCGCGGACGCGGCGACGTCGACGCCCCGCCCACGGTCTCCGGCCGCGCGCCGCCGCCGACGCGCCGCCACGAGAGCGACCTCGCGTCCTGGGCGGAGGCGGACGCGCTGCGACACTGCGTCGCGTCGTACAGCGAGCTGCGACCGCCGCCGCGCTCGACGATCGCCGCGGCGTTCTCGCCCGACGGCGAGACGCTCGCGAGCACGCACGGCGACCACACCGTGAAGCTCATCTCCGTGCGCACGGGCGAGTGCGTGCGCACGCTCACGGGCCACCGACGCACGCCGTGGGTCGTGCGGTTCCACCCCACGGACGCCAACGTGCTCGCGAGCGGATCGCTCGATCATGAAGTGAGGATCTGGAATTCAACGACGGGCGCGTGCACGCTGTGCTTCGACTTTGGCAAGCCGATCGCGAGCCTGGCGTTCCACGCGGTAGGGGACGTCCTCGCGGTCGCGAGCGGGCACAAGCTGTACACGTGGTGCTACGCCAACGCGTTCGCGGGAAGGGGGCGCGACGACGACGCGGACCCGGGCGCGGGCGCGACGGTTGAAAACGGAAACGCGGGCGACGCGCGTCCGAACGCGAACGCGAACGCGACGGACGCGTGGACCGGGTCGTTCCCGACGCGCTCGCGCGGCGCGGAGAACGCGAGCGGCGACGCCGGCGCGAGCGGGGACCTCGCGAGGGTGCCGTGCATATCGCTTCGCACGCGGCGGTCGCTGCGGGCGGTGCACTTCCATCCGCACGGCGCGCCGCTTCTGTTGTCCGCGGAGGTGAACGAGACGTCGGAGCACGATGTCCCGCCGCTTCGCGCGATGACGACGCCGCACCGCGCGGGGGAGCGGGAGACGGCGTACGCCGCGGCGTTGTCCGCGGCGGTGGCGGCGACGGCGGAGCAGCGCGCGGCGGCGACGCCCGACGGCGGGGGGGTCGAGGAGCCGCGGACGACGTACGTCGCCCCGCGCGCGTGCACCCTCGGCGTCGGCGTCGAGACGTGCGACGCGATGGATTCGGACGCCGTGGAGGGTGAGTCGCGCGGGGGGGACGCGGACATGACG